AGAATGCAGGTGTTTGATGAAGAGATTCGGAAGTCCATCCTATCAGAAAACGACAGCGGATTTCTCTTGGCTAGCTCTCGATCGGCTTTACTGGAGCATTCTTGCTAACACTGTTTTTGAGACATTCTCTTTAGATTCCAGTGAAAACGTGCCAATCTTTCGTCCGTCATATGGCCGACATCACTAGAGAGGGGTATTATCCTCAACCATATTCATTTATCTCTAAAGCACCGATACATTTAGTAAAGAAACTGGGCCGGCTACATTAATACTATTTTATTTTACATAAATTTTCGATCATAATGAGGCATCTCATGATTTAGGTGGCTACTTCGTGCTTGTGAATGAATAAACGTGATGTATAAAGAGAGTGTAGATGTAATCATGACTGCTTCTACACGTATTTAAGTTTGAAATTGCCTATAGATGTTCCATATTTCATGTGGTGCTTTTAAGCCTCCTGATCAACGATTCAAATTGTTTTCAGTCATGTATTATGGAGTTCATGCTTTCTTCTTTTTGATCATACAATAGACACTTGACCTTAATATCGTCATTAATTCTGGTCTTTTCTTGATATCTAATATGACTAGTTTTAGATAAACATCCTATTGCTATTTTTATTGCATTAGGCCTCTTTCCCAAAAATGTAGTCATTTTTCTCCCTAAACCCTACAATTTCTCCCTTTATTGTATTACCTTATCAACTAGAGGCCAAATTTAAACTAATGATATTGGCCTCTCGTTCGTTGAGGGGATATTGCAATTTTATATATTGCAACTTGTTAGCTAACATAATATTGATTATAATTCCTGTTCTAATTGCGTAAGTGGCAAAAATGCGGACTTTTGAAGAAGTCTATCGAAAGGCCAACATTTTTGTTTATGCCGTTGTAAGTATAATCTTTACTTTGGTAAGCCTAATTATCTTCTTGAAGTTATAAAGACCAAGATGTTGTGGCCTCTGGTATGGTCGCAGTCTCCTTTCGATTTATAGAAATGGGTTGACCTCGTTGTCGCAACATCTTGGTCTTCATATCTTCAATTAAACTACGGTAGTAAAATTGCCATGCAATGCACTGAATACAGCCGGACAAATAAGACAATTGTGAGTCAATCTTCCCACATTACTTTTTTATACTATTGTAAACGATATGGTATCACTCCTAAGGCCTGATATCTGCAAGCATGGGAATCAGAGCTTAAGCGCTTCGCTCAGTGAAGCGACAGTGTATGTGCTTGTAGGGCCTTGAGAAATAGCGCCATTAGTGAAATGCACAGAGGGACTGAACGCGAGTGAAATCGGTTAACCAGAAAGATAAGGAACGGATCTACGAGACAATGAAAGTATCCGGATTGGAGGATTGAGTCGGAT